ATATATATCAATCAATAATAATACATACAATTTATTCTCTCTCTATCAATTTATCTTACATGGTATCAGAGCTAGGTTAAGAACCTAGTCATTCTGCTTCACCGGCGGGCGGCAGCCTCGCTTTGGCCGCCCGCCGGACCTCTACACATACCTTCACTCCGCTGCCACAAATTCCATAACTGAACTGAACTCTTGTCTCTCCGAGGGAATAATCAACACCTTCACACCAGTGAGGCCGTGGATATGGATCGCAGGTCCATCTATGTTGTAGCTTTATCTGCATTGTCGTCGCCGGCGTTGGAGGTCATTCTCCGGCCACACCTCATGTGGTGTCCGCTCCGCCAGTTTCAGCTCCACCACCATCCACTCTCTCTCTCGGCAACTCTCTCTTCCGGAAAACACACAGACAGCGTCACTCACCTTGACTGCTTCATGTTCTTCTTAGGCCGAACCTTCCACCAACAAAAAGCTTCTCCTCCTCCGGCTGTTCCATCACCACCACAACTTGCTGCTCCACCTGTTCAGGTTCCGGCCCCAGCTCCGCGCAAGAAGCCAAAATCTCCGTCGCCGTCGCCGTTGGCAGTGAGTCCTCCGGCACCGCCGACGGCAGCACCAGCGCCGACCAACGGGGGGGCTACATCGCCTTCACCGTCTGCTCCCGAAACGAGTGGGGTGGAGAAGTCGTGGTCCATGGAGAAGATGGTCAGGAGCTTGATCTTTGGATGGTCTCTTCTTTGTTTGCTATTCTGAGATGACAACACACAAAGTTCCAGTATCAGAGATATTTTTCTATCTTGTGTTTCATTTACTTTTTCTCATCAGCTACCCACAACCACATGTCCAAACCAGCCGCTGCCTGCCCTCATCCCGTCGCTACTCCAGCGATGCTGCCTTCCCACCTGTACCACCAACCATTACCGTCGTGATTCGCCGTCGCTGGTGCATCGACGTTACCAGCGCCAACCTTTTTCTATCACCACATTCGCTCTCTCTTGCTGGAGGGATGAGGAGGAGAACATAATCTGCCTAATGGCATCTCTTCTCTCTCTCTCGCTCTGTGCGATCGTCCATGGCTGCCAACCAGATCGCATCATTTTCATGTGACCCCACCGTGACACACACAGAAGACCAAACCCAGCTCTCTCTCTCTAACCGAGCTCTCTCACTCTCTGGGCACCTCTCTCTCTCTCTCTCTCTCTCGGACTTCCTCCTTTATTTTATTTTTTATTCATCACCTTATCCTCCACCACCTCCCTTTCTTTTTTTTTAAAACAATATTTTTTGAACAAACAAAACCAACAAACCATGTGCTGGTTTTCCCAAATCGATGGGTCACCCTCCACCCAAATCAATGTCTCTTTCATATTTTATTAATCTAATGGCTGGCACCATTATGGGTTGGTTTGAACAAAACCACCGTGGGCTCCATTTTCACTTTCTTTTATTTTATTTTACCTTTTTTTTTAATGAAAAAAAAAAAAACAAACAAACAAACAAACAAACAAAAAACCACATCATCCCTTTTTCTCTCTTGAGATTTCTTTCTTTTCACAATCCGTTGGTGAGCTTTTCCAGCTTCCTATTCCCACTACCTTTATTTTATTTTTTATTTTTTATTTTTTTATCTTTTTTTTTTCCTCCATATTTCATTATTATACATCTCAGTTGGTGAGCATCATCCCTTTTTCCATTATTTTCTTATTATTATTATTTTTCCACATTTTCCACCACAAAAAAAAAAAAAAAAAAAAAAAAAAAAAAACAAACAAACAAACAAACAAACAAAAACAATCAAAAACAAAAACAACAAACCCTGTTTCCACCTCAAATAAGTTTCTATCTTCACACCTATTTGAGTTTGAGGGGGGTTATACATATATCATGGTAAGCATGGTTACACACCATGCGAACCACTCAAGCTGGTGAGCATACACTATGGGAACCACCCAAGCCACCCCATGGCGCACTCCCTAAGTCGCCCCCTTGGTGCACTACCACAATCTGCTACAACGGTCCGGCATGACCACATAAAACTGTCCCGACATTGATTCCGGTCAGCTTCTACATCGGTCCGGCATGACCCCGTAAACTGTCCCGACATTGATTCCGGTCAGCTTTTACATCGGTCCGGCATGACCCCGTAAACTGTCCCGACACTGATTCCGGTTAGCTTCTACATCGGTCCGGCATGACCTCGTAAAACTGTCCTGCTACAACGGTCTGACATGACCATACAGTGTCTTCACCAACAGTCCGACACGACCATACAGTGTCTACTATCCTCTTTATTTTATGTATTAGTTTATCTTCATGTTTTGTTCCTTTCCAAACTCAAGTTGGTTTTACCTATCCTCCTTGAGTTTGAGGGGGGATGTTAGAATATATAATATATTATGTTAGTATAATATTATGTATATTATTATGTTTAGCTTTAGCTTTAATAATTAGTGTAGCTTTAGCTTTCATAATTAGCTTGCTTTAGCTTTATGCTTTCGGTGGCTCTCTCTCCAATGTATCACAGGCTATAAGAAGAGAGTTAGGCTCCCTTGTAAATCAATCCATGAAATACACTTTTCATTTATTCACTTGTTCTCTCTCTATCAATTTTATCTTACAATAGGAAACAACCATAGAGGGTGTAGGCAACAAACAAACACCAATGGACTCCAAGAACACAACCAAAAACCAAAAAAAATCAAAGCAAAACAAGAAGAACAAAGAAACCTCAGACCCAGAGCGGCCAGATCTGTGGAGACGGGTCAGATCCGAGCAGATCTGGTGGCGTAGTGCAGAATGCAGCGTCGGCCTGGTTTGGCGAAGGGGAAACAAAGCAGGTCTGCAAAAACAAAAAACAAAAAAAACTGAAAACACTCCTTTTGTATCTTTCCTACTGCGGCTCCAAATACAGCAGAATTTTTTCTTACGGAAAGACACTAACAGCATATGAAAGCAAACATACTGAATTTTCAGTGGAGCTGAATCAATGTAATCATTCATTCGTCCCACAAACGTGCATAATGGCACAACGCCGACTTGTATACTGAGCCCGCCTCATTATGACACTTTGGAATCCTATTAAATGTGAGAGGAGAAAAGAAGAGGTGACGACGACAAATTAAGCATCATATTTGCAGAGGTCCTCGAAACCCATGTATTCGTGTTGCTCAATCTTCCCAATCATGTTCGATATGCCTACCCCACCTATCAAAAACAAAAATAAATTGTGTCAAGAACTCAAGAATTTCACAAGTAGACTATACACATTGTAGTTAATGCTTTCAAAAACAGTAAAGCTGTGAAGACTCATTTAATTTATTGCCTGGAAATTTCACCAGTCCAACTAATGGGAAAAATGAAGCTCACCTAGGGAGATTGCGTTGACGAAGATCGTGATAGCCAGAATGAAGATGATTAAGGATGCCCTTCCCTGTATAATGATCAGTTTCCGTACAACATGTTGCCCAATAAAAGTAGCAACAGTTGCCGCAGCAACAGTTGCCGCAGCAACAAAGTAAAGAGCTGCACAAACACACAAAAAATAATCCAATTCAAACAAAATTCAAATGGAACTCAAGTCTTTTACTCGTTATATTTTTAGATGATTTCTGAAGAGAATAACAGAAAACTGCTTTATAAAAACTGTTTCAGTAATATGGAACACTAACTTACCATAGGGTACTGGAAAACGTTTTAGAAGATAATATTCTACGACAGACATTGATGAGGAGAAGGTCATTGCAAAGGTGGCTGTAGCACTTGAAACCTGCACGAACGTTCTCAAGGAGTTTAGGACAAGACAGAATGCAAATGCTTGTAATTAACACAGCACAAGGAACCGTTTCAACGTCATGGTTATTTCATTTTCCTTCGCTATCTAAACATCTGTCTAAGTTTGGGATTATATGAGATCTACATTTTGGAAACTTCAATCACTGTCCACCATGCTTTTTCCTAAATTTCCAATTTTATCCCTGAAATGTTTTGTTCAACATACTACACCTAATTTCCTCATCCAGTCATTAAATATCAAATTATTCAAAAATATCCTAATAATACAAACAACTCCTGAATTATTTGCAAACTTGTTGAGTTATTACAACAATCCAGAAATAACACAATCTGCTTTTACAAGACCCAAAAAAGAAAACTTCGGCCGTTTGTGTTAAAATTTTAATTTACGCTGGCTTACTCAAACAGTCAAACAGATTCTGGAAACAAAAAGTCAAAAAAAAAAAAAATTGAGATCCTAGATTATCATGATTGACTTGTCCTGTTGTCGATGTTAGATATAGTGGAAATGTATTTCGAAGGTAAATGAATGAAGCATAAACTCTCTTTGATGTCACTTGGAACAGATTTCATTTTCCACAAAGCAAACAGGATAATTTAATAATAAGGCAATATCAAGGGAAGGGCAAAAAACCTAATAGTGATATACATAACAACGAATCAGCCATATTATTCTAACCTGGATTTAAGTAGTAAAAGATAACCAACATGAATAGTGAAATATAAAGTTACTACTACCCTTCTCTTTCGTTTATTTATTTACTTTTTCTTTTTCACTTTAGTGCAAGCACTGAAAACACATAATTTTGAATAAAAAAGAAAAGAAAAGAAAGACGCAAATTACCTGAGGAGGGACTCCCAGCTCCAAAAACAATGGACCTAAAATAAATCCTCCACCTAAGCCAAGCAGTCCACCAACTGTACCAGCCAGTACGCCACAGGAGCAGTACAAGATCAGCTGGTGTGCTTTCAAGTTAGTGCCTGTATCTCCTCTTGATGAAACCTGTCTTTTCCCCTTGTACAGGCCAATTGCCTCGTACAAAGTTACCACAACAGAAACTGGGATCTGCAGAACAATTGAAAAGATAAATTCACATAGATGCTTGAAAACCCAGTTTGCAGTCTGTAAAGCTAAAAACTTTTTTTTGACACTGTCGTAATATCAACAGAAACTTTCAAGTTAGTTGCAATTTTTACATGTACAGACTCAGTCCAATAGAGGAAAAAAAACTACATGAATCTCTTACTTTTGGGTGAAATAATAAAATTTACCTGCAATAAGTTCAAGACCCAATATGCTGTTGAACAAGTGGCTGTATAGTTCTGTTTTCAAAAGAAAAAAACAAAACAAAACAAAACAAAGCAACAAAAAAAAACTTATAACTTAATAAGATGTACAAAAAGGAAAAATCAAATATTTACAAAAATAAAATCAAAAATGAGGAGAAATAAGAAGAAAAAGAAGAAGACGATAAAACCTTGGTGATCTGCAGTAAGGAATGCAACCCACACGAAAAAAAGAGGCCGAAGCTCCTTCCAGTAAACATTCTCAATTATACTGACCTGTGATGTTTATACATGTCTAGGGCTGTGCAAAATACCGCGTAATCCGCTAAAACCGCACCGATCCGCATTAATTCGCACCGCTCTAACCGCTAACCGTAGTTTAAACTTTAAAATTTATAATCCGCCAACCGAACTGCTCCGCTCCGCTAAAGTTAATACATATAAATTTTTTAACTTTCAATGAAATATCAATGTAAAAATAAGTGTGAAAGAGATTTAAAATATGAAATTTATTACAAATTAGTGGTTATATATATGAAACATATTATGTAAAATTACTTTGTGTTATATATCTAAAAAATATTATACAAATTAGTGTTATATATTATGCAAATATATGATAATTAGTTAGAATATTTTTCAATCCGCCAATCCACCAAAAACTGCCCAGGGATCTTTGGAACTGTAAACAGCTTGTTACAGGCTACTTACCTCTCGTTCTGTAGTCCCATTGGATTCCTTTTTGGTGCCATTGCTTGGGCCATCAGGAAGGAGCTTGTATTCTGCTCCCTCATGACCATTACCTGATATAACAGGAAATATGCGTGGATATTCCACAACAGAAAAATAAAAATAAATAAGCAAGAGGATCTATTTGGTGTTGTCAGATAGAAAGAACACTGGATCAACTCACCATTTGCCTCCAAAAGCTTGGCAGCCTCCTGAAATCGGAAAATTGATATTCAGAATGGAAGAATTAAGATTGGTTGCAAAAATACACACACACACCATATGAAAACAAAAGCAGAAATCCTAATCCCATATTATATTACATCAATTTTAATCAGCATGGCTCGAAATAAAAAATTGCCAAAAAAAAAAAAAAAAATTGAAATGGCCAAAAGAAATTCACTCAAATCCACTCCCCAAGGCCGGCTATGTTGTGTGTATATATATAGGTGATGTCCTTTTGGGGACAAATTGCTTGATTTAGGGAAGAAAATTTGACCTAGGGTACATATAAGATTATATATTGATATATATATATATATATATATATTGTGGTTGTAACCAATTCAACTTTGAATAAACCTAAGCCTAACTAGATCATGTTTAAAGGTGTAATTAAGGCTCTAATCATCATACATTCCATTCCATCCTAATTAAATCCAAGCCTATTCAATTGAATTGGAACTAAGGACATTTTGGACTTTTCACCATTGAAGAGAATAATTAGTAGAACGGTGACCATCCAGTCAGCGAAAATCACATTGAAAGCAACACCAATGCTAATGCCCAGCATGAGCATTGGTTGGACAAGCAGTGCCAAGTCATAGTCAATGACTGGCATATCAAGTGTAGGATGCCTCAGCTTAAGATTGTAGTAGACAGAGGAGATTGCTGCACCCATGATCATACCTGAACAGAAAATAATGCAAATCTATGAAATTAGAACTGAGAAATTCAATGGAGCACAGAAAGTAAAATCAAGAAAGACCATTTTCTTTCTATGGCTGTCAACCAATTTGAGAGAGGAAAAAAAAAAAATAAGAAGCTTTAGTTTAAAGCTTTAGTCATATGAACTGCCTCAGCTATGACTGATGTCACAGTGAACCTCTGTACTGTCTCTGACGTCTGAATATTTAATCCTCAATAATGCCAAAACAACTAAAATTCACCTCCAAGAAAATTGGAGTCATGTTAATGCATTATATCATCTGTCCGCATTCCAATAATATTTTGCTTTCAGAACTGAAAAAAACTTATGAACATAGACATGTCTTCCATTGTTTAGAATGAATTCAAAACCAGACTTGAGTCAACTCATTCATCTTCTTTTCTCTCATTTCCTTTAATTTTAGAAAACAAAAATAAATTTAGACATACATATTTTAAAGAAAAATTCCCCTCTGCTGCCATCACCCATCCACCCTAGGAAACCCACGGGTTTTGATGTGGTTGAATTCAATCAAGAAAGAGTTTCGTTTGGATTTATGCGCAGCCTAGATATGTCATTTCGGGTTAATAACAATCAACATAAACTTCTCAATTAAAATCCATCCTCTATTTTTGTTGATTTCCAAAATGATTTACTAAGATGAGAGCATTTTTAAATTTTTCTATGTGGCTGGCTGGGACAGAGAAAGGAAAGGGAGAGAGGGGATGGTGGTTGGTCCTTGTAGGTGGGTAAGACAAAAGACGGTTCGGTGATGGTGGCGGACGATGGCGGCTACTACAGAAGAGAAGGAAACATAATCTCATTAGAAAAAAAGATACTGTAAAGTTTAAATATTAGTAGTAGAATCGTAAATCTATCCCACATCGTTCATAATCTGATTAGAAGAGAGATAGTGTAAAGTTTAAATATTGGTAGTAGTATAATTGTAAACTTATCCCACATCGTTTAAAAACTATGCATAATGTTTGAATATAAGGGGTGATTGAGGCATCTAATAATTGCCGAGCTAAGTAGCGATAGCTTATGACTCAAGCGAGGGCACCAAAGTGGTTGGATTATGGTAAAGTTGATAGATGGCTTCAACGCTTGAACTCAGGCTAGACCAGCGAACCTGTAGGTTCTAGCTAGCTTAGTTGAACTCAGGCTAAAACGATTAAACCACTAGGTTCTAGCTAGCCTAGTTGAACTCAGGCTAGACCGAGTAAACCTCTAGGTTCTAGCTAGCTTAGTTGAACCCTGTAGGTTGTGGCCAACTTAGTTGAACTCAGGCTAGACCAGTGAACCTGTGAGTTGTGCCCAGCTTAGTTGAACTTAGGCTAGACAGTGAACTTGGAGGTTCTCTGGCTATAGCTTTAGTTTAAGTCATTAGACAACCACTTCTTTTTCTTTTCTTTTTTTTGTAATAGAAAATAAAAAAAAAATAAATATTGTGATTATCAAGGATGGACTTTTATTTTTCATGTAGAAAATAAATAAATTAGTATTGTTATGATCATGGATGGATCTTGAAAATTTGAAAATTTAAATATACTTTCGCACCCTGTGGATCAGTCCTTGGTGATGATTACAAAACATAAACATGTTGATTTTTTCTATTTCAATCAATAACATTTGGTGGGTTTGGCAACTAACCAATTTTTTTTTTTCTTTTGAATATTATATTTTTTAAATTTGTGTCAAAGATTTTACATTTTTTGTGTATCGAGAATGATCTAAAAATATCACAAACTTATTTTCACTTTTATTTTTAATGAATTGTTTTTCATTTTTTTATAACTTATTTGGTCCATGTAGTTGAGTAGACTCTAAAATGCAAAGTTTTTTGAAATTTTTTGAAAAAAGTTCATTAAAAATGAACTCCAGTTCCACTAAATTTTCTCATTAGAAAAAGAGATAGTGTAGAGATTAAACACTGGTTGTAGTAGAATCATAACTCAATCCCACATCGTTCATAATCTCATTAGAAAAGAGATAGTGTAAAATTTCAACATTGGTAGTAGCAAAATCGTGAACCCCTCGCACATTGTTTAAAAACAACCCATAATGTTTGAATGTAAGGTGTGATTGAGACATCTAATAATTGCCGAGTTGAGTAGCGTTAGCTGGTGACTTAAGCGAGTGCACCAAGGTGGTTGGATGATGGTAAAGTTGAAAGGTGGGTTCGACGCTTGGACTCTGGGTAGACCAGTGAACGTGTTCGTTCTGGCTAGCCCAAGGTTTTTTTTTTACATGTATACAATAAAAAATTAATATTGTGATGACCAAAGATGGTTTTTTTTCATGTATAAAATAAATAAATTAATATTGTTATGATTAAGGATGGATCCCCAAAATTTGAAAATCTAAATATACTTCCCCATCCTTTGGATCTATCCTTGGTGATGATGTTCAACATAAAATTAATGGGTTTTTCTATTTCAATCAATAAAATTTGGTGGGTTTTGGCAACTAACTAAAAACTCTATCTTTTTTTTTTAGTCAATTATTTTCCATTTTAATTTTATAACTTATTTGGTCTATGCAATCGAGTAGATGCTAAAATGCAAAGTTTTTAAAAAAAATTTGAAAAAACTTTAGTAAAAATGAAAAAAAAAAATCCAAATACTTACCCTAGTTCCACTAAATTTTCTTTACTAAAAATTACAATTCAATAGTATTTTCAAAAAACAATTACAAATTTTTTGATTTACCACTCTGATCTGATTTTTTTTTCCTACACTTGCATTACTACATACCTTTAAAATAATTCAAAATATATTCCAAGCACAATAAACATTTAAAAGCTTTGAAAAGAGAGGATTTGGTGATGGTGGCGGTGGATGGTAGTTACAGGAGAGAAGGAAACATAATCTCATTAGAAAATAGATAGTGTAAAGTTTAAACACTGGTTGTAGGAGAATCGTAAATCCATCCCACATCGTTCATAATCTCATTAGAATAGAGATAGTATAAAATTTAAACGTTGGTAGTAGTAGAATCATAAACTCATCCCACATCATTTAAAAATAACGCGTAATATTTGAATATAAGGTGTGATTGAGACATCTAATAATTGCTGAGCTAAGTAGCTTTAGCTTGTGACTCAGGCGAAGGCATCAAAGTGGTTGGAAGATGGTAAAGTTGAAAGATGGATTCAACAATTGAGCTCAGGTTGGGCCAGTGAACGTGTATGTTCTGGCTAGCCCAAGGTTGCTGAGTTACGTCACCGGACAACCACATTTTCTTTTTAAGATGATCAAAGATGGATGCCCAAAATTTGAAAATCTAAATATACTCTCACATGTTGGGGATCCGTCCATGGTGATGACTATGCAACATAAAAATGATGGTTTTTCTATTTCAATCAATAAAATTTGGTGGGATTGGCAACTAACTAAAAAAACTATTTTTTTTTATTTTTTTATTTTTTTTGAATATTTTTATTTTTATTTTTATATCTGCATAAAAAATTTTACATTTTTTTCTGTCTAGTGTAGAATGATTTAAAAACATCACCAACCAGAAAGAACTCACCGAATGCGGAAACCTTAATTATTCTTGCATGACTCTTTTTTGGGGTAAGTGATATTTACAGTCACCATTTTGGGGGCATTATCA